AATGTTCCTCCATACCTGTCGGAGTCACAGCGGCGACGAAGAGCTTGAGTCGGTGCTTCACTGGGTAGCTGTTGCTCGTGAGCACCTGTCGCTGATGTGCGAATGCGGCCCATGCGCATTTGATCTGGTGTTGCAGTTCCACCGCCATTGGATCGTTGAATGCGATGGTCTGCCCAAGGTCCTTGAATTTCCCGTCGTGTGGTGAAATCTCAATCTCCATGCCGTGCACAGGGCAGTTTTTAATACATAGGATTTTCAAGCATACAGGATTTTTTAAGATATGATTAGTTTATGAATACAATTATGCATGAACTCATCGTTGCTTTTAATACTAAAACTCTGCGTTTTTATACATGGTTCGCACGCGGAGCATGTATAAAAAAACGGCACTGTATGTTGGCCGACCGTGCGCATGCTCGGCCCGTGCGTTTGGTCAAGTTGGTCATGACCTCTGCCTTCGCCGGGTGTGCTTCGAGAGCCCGTGGGCCGTGGCTGCAGTAACGGTGTCGGCGAGCAGCTCGGCGAGTCGTGGCAGGGTCGGGGCCAGCAGCACCTCATCTGCGAATCGTTGATTGGTGAGAATGAGGAGGAGGAGGAGGAGGAGGAGGTGGAGGAGGAGGAGGAGGAGGAGGAGGAGGAGAAGAGGATGAGGAGGAGGAGGAGGAGAGGAGGAGGAGGAGGAGGAGGGAGGAGGAGAGGAGGAGGGAGGAGGAGGAGGAGGGAGGAGGAGGAGGAGGAGAGAGGAGGAGGAGGGAGGAGGGGAGGAGGAGGAGGGAGGAGGAGGAGGAGGAGGAGGAGAGAGGAGGAGGAGGAGGAGGAGGAGGAGAGGGCGGGGCGCAGGGGGGACAGGGGGGGGGGAGGAAGAGGGAACAAGGGGGCAGATTGGGGATGAGAAGTCGCTGAGTTGGATGCCGCGGTGGGTGTCCCGCCACTTTGTCGTCAGGGGTGCCCTGATGTGCTGCAGCACTGCTTCGTCCCGCGGCGGAGGGAGAATGGCCGGCTGTCAATGTCAGTGCGTGCATGTGGCTGTCTGGCCATGGTGCAGCTGCTGTTGTATGGTTGTGTATCCTGGCTCGATGCCCTGGGCGCGCAGAGATTGCCAGATGCTATCGTGCTCGGCCGAGTCGAAGGCTTCCTTGAAATCAAGGGACCCATAGACTCTGTTGCCACTCGTGTGCCCGTTGTCGTAGAAATTGGAGTGTAAACGAGTGGTCCGTCGTAGTGTCCGGGTCGGAAGCCTGCTTGATCAGGTGTTTGGTGGGTGTCGAGTATTGGCTGGAGTCGGTTGTACAGTAAGCGGCTTTAGAGCTTGTGTAGCACAGGCATGCTACACATCGGTCGGTAGTTGCTTGGGAGTGTGAGGTCCCCAGACTTGGGACTGACTATGACGATGGTCTGTCGCCACTTCTCTGGAGTCGGAGCTGCTGGTTGCAGCGTGGTGTTGTACAGGTGGGTGAGGGCTGTCTCGAAGAGCCAGCCCTGTCTTGGAGAAGAGTCTTGAAGGGGCCCCAGGACACAAAATAAATACACATACGTAAAAAGATTCCCCATATTTTCCAATATTTTCTGGGTTTTTGTCTTCCCCCCCACTTCCCCCATATTTTCTTATATTTTCTTAGGAATCGACGATTAATTATGTCTGTGTGTTTTTTCCCCTCCTGAAGTCTTGACACGCCAAGATCGCAAGGGCCGGCCCAACCCCTGAAGACTTCGGGTCATACCTCGGCTCCCCGAGGGCCGCTCGGGACGATCCGGGCAACCCCAGAACGCCCTCGGCGGTGCGCAGCTGCTGGGAAGCATGCAGAGGCTCGAATGCCGCCGAGCACCGACGCAAGCGCCCGAAAGCCGCTGAGAACGCCAAGATGGTCACGCACCTGTCTCGGGGATGGTCGCGCCGCCCGTCGTGACAAACACGCGAGGCCAACATCTCAGGGGTGCATATTTGGACGCCCGAAACGGATACGGAAGAAATGGGTACGATGCCCAACGGCACATGTGGTCCAAAACCGGCAGCAGCCGTTGTTGGGCAGGCGGCTGTCTGTCTCAAATGGACAGCTCCCGCATCGACACCGACAGCGAGTCCTGGTCAAAATGAAAAGGACATGCTGTCGGTCTTTGTGCCAGTCTCGGGGGTGTCCAGAAAGGGGGGCGTCCAAGAGGGTGAGGCGCAAATCATGGCCGGCGGCATGTGCGCGGCCCAGGGGGGGAGGTCGGGTACGCATCGAAACAAGAAAAGGTGCCATGTCATCTGGGGCGGTATCATGCCCCCCGCCAGAATATTCCCCCCCCAGTCATCACCCAGTTCTTGGCCACCCCCTAGGTGGGGTCCGCGTAGATGCGGTCGGCGGATCGCGCCGCACCGCCGATGTGTCGGCGATGCATCGGCGACGTCGGTGATGCATCGGCGGCGTCGGCGTGGGGGAAATCGGGCTCCGCATCGTGCCGCATCGTCGATGCATCGGCGATGCGGCGCGATCCACCGACTCCATCTACTCCGACCCCATCTAGGAGCCCTCGGGTTTTTGGCCGCTCCCGACATTCTTTCCGTACCCATTTCGATCGTCCCGAAAACACAAGAGTCGGCGCCCTCCCCGCCCGGGGCGCGTGCGGACGTTGAGCAGGGACCGACCGTCCCGGCATTCCTACAGGCTTATCACGACATGTTCTTAGAACCCCGGAATGTTCCAAGAACAATCACAAGTTTCTCATAACATGGGCCCGAAGTGATAAAGCAGGACAGACTCAGCCAGAAAGGTTCTACTCAGCCAGCAATGTTCTCAGAGCACTTCGTGCAAACCACAGAAGGTCCTTAGAACACTCTCTGGTGGGCCCATAGGCGACCCAAGACGCTTCGCCACTGCTTGACAAGTGTCGGCGCACTCCCCGCCCCAGGCGCGTGCGGACGGGGCCTGGCGCCTGGCGACAGTCCCGCCCGCCGACGGCGCCGGGCGCCCCGTGGGGCGAACGGGCCGCGCAGCTGGTAAGGTTAAGTCGGGCCTGTCCTCCTACAGGAGGATTTCGGACGAAAAATCAGAACAATCCGAATAAAAAAACGCGCGCGAAAAACCACACATGATCAAACCATCGTCCCCACACTATTTGTTTTTTGACCATTTTTGAAATTTCCCTCCCTGTGCACGTCGTTCATTTCTAATCGTGTTTACTTCTAATTGTGCTCGTTTCTGATTGTTCCTGGCCCCCTAATGGCCAGGAAGAGGCCCCGGATAGAACACTTAGAAATGAAAGGATCTTGGCCCCAAAAAATATCGGCGGTGGACAGACCTCCCTTTAGCAAACCTCCCCTTAGTGAAAACGGCCTGGGACCGAAACCGACGGGCCTGGACCCGCAAAAATGACGGCCGCGACGCCCTCTCGCGAACCGAAAACGTCGGCCAATTCCTTAATCAACGTGTCAGGGTAGGAGGTCGATCAACCTCCGGGAGAAATCAAAGAACTTTCGATCAATTGGAAATGAGCAGTGTGTATATTGAACAAGGACCGACCGTCCCGGCATTCCTATAGTCATACCACGAAATGTTCGTAGAACCCAATCATGTTCTAGTAACAAAACCAATGTTATTATAAAACAATCCCGATGTGTTAAAATAAAACAGTCCCAGCCAGAAATGTTCTATGAACATTTCGTGGGAAGCACAAAAGGTTCTTATAACATTGTTTGGTGGGGCTGTAAGCGAGCCGGGACGCTTCGCCACTGCGTGAGTAGAGGGACAGGCCCGACGTGAGGGTAAGGCCTCAAGCTGCGCACGGGCAGCCCTTCCAGGCAGCCCGGCTGGCCTCAGCACCTCGAGATGCATCCAGGCGCCGCAGGCTTGTTGCGCGGGGCGTCTTCGCAGACCCCCTCGCGTCGTGCAAACAGCACGACGGGAGGCTTTGCGCCATTTTCGGCCTCCAGGGGCCTCTCTTGGGCCTCGGGGGAGTCAGAAAACGACTCAGGGTGCAAAACTGGTCCCAGGGAGTGGGTCCAGACCCCTGGGGGTCGCGTCATGAAAAAAATATGACGTCCCCTGGCCCTCATTCTTCCAGACCTTCCGTGCTGACCTTCCACACTCTTGCGCTTCGTGAAGCGCTGAGTTTTCTTGCGTTTCCTGAGGCTTTCAATCGTTTCAATGCATCACCTTCCGCGCCTTCCGCAGAGGTCGGAAGGTCTGGAAGAATGAGGGCGAGGGTCGGGGGTCTGGGTTCGCTGGGCTTCGGGCCCCCTGGGGCCAGCACAGCTCCACGAGGCTCGCAGCGAGGCCGCCGAAAGACCGACCGGGCTCGAGGCTCTGTCACGCTGCCGGCCTTTCTTTCGCGGCGTCGGGCGTCCGGCCCCTCGAGGGTGAAGGGGCCCTGAGACACACAAATAAATACACACAAAGAAGAAGATCCCCCATATTTTCCCATATCTTCTGGATTTGTGTCTTCCCCCTCACTTCCCATATTTTCCCATATTCTCTGGGGAATCGAGGATTCATTGTGTCTGTGTGTTTTTTCCCCTCCTGAGAGGGGTCCCAGCTGGCCTCAGGAGGCCACCCGGGCAGACCGGGGCGAACTGAACCCGCACCCCAACGCTGGGGCCCCGCGGGCCCTCGGGGCGCTGCCGGAGGCGGCGCCGGGGTGCCGAGGCCGCCCTGGGCTGCTCTCGGGGGGCCCCGGGGAGGCCTGCGGGGGACTGCCCGCGGGGGGCTGGCCTGCTGGGGTCCGCCGGGGCTGGCCGCCTGGGCGCAGCCTTCGTGCCCCCCCCCCCTTGAGCAGGGACCGGCCGTCCCGGCATTCCCATAGTCCTACCACGAAATGTCCGTAGAGAACCCAAGCATGTTCCAAGAACAGGAGCAATGGTTCCTGGAACATCAGCCCGAGGTGATACAAAGCAGGACACGCTCCGCCAGAAATGTTCTGAGAACAGTTCGTGGGAACCAAAGAAAGTTCTTAGAACATTGCTTGGTAAGGCTATAGGCACGCCGGGGCGCCTCGCCACTGCTTGAGGCCCCCGTCGTCTCCAGGGCCGACCTGCATGCGGGTCTGCAGGCGCTTCAGCGAGGTGACGGGCTTCTCGGGCCTGTAGAGGCTAACGAAACCACATCCTCCTCCTCCTCCTCCTCCTCCTCCTCCTCCTCCTCCTCCTCCTCCTCCTCCTCCTCATCCTCCTCCTCCTCCTCCCCCTCCTCCTCCTCCTCCTCCTCCTCCTCCTCTCCTCCTCCTCCTCCTCCTCCTCCCCCTCCTCTTTCTTCTCCTCCTCCTCCTCCTCCTCCTCCTCCTCCTCCTCCTCTCCCCTGGGCTTAAGTCGGGGCCCTGGCACCTCGGCGCCGGCTTCGAGCCGGGCGCTTCTGCCTGGTCTCCGGGCGCCGGGCCCTCACAGGTCGACCCGGCTGGAAAATGGCGCAGAAAGGTGGAGTCTGGGGCTCTGGCCGTGATTTTCGCGACGTTGCAATTTCTTCCCAACCATCCTGTGGTGTTGGGTCCTCGCTTTGAAGAGACGGTGCTCCGCGTCTCTCCTCCTTCCTTCCTTCCTCCTCCCCCTCCTCCCTCCTCCCTCCTCCTCCTCCCTCCTCCCCCTCCTCCCTCCTCCCCCTCCTCCCTCGCGACGTTGCAATTTCTTCAGTGTCGTGGAAATGGCCTGGCGGCGGGGCTGCAACCAACTGCATGCAGCACTTTTTGCCCCCCCCCCCCCCCCCCCCCCCCTTGCCTATTCCCCTCTGTCGTGACCCAGGCCTGTTCCACACGGACAGCATCTCGAACTCCCCGGGCTGGGCCGACTTGGCCTTCCTCTCGGAGAGGCAAAATCGGCACGAACACAAACTTTCGGAGGTCCGCGCGGATTTCTCGGATCGCGTCGCTGGAGGCGCCGCCCGGGGTGTCCAGCGCGGATCCAGAAGATTCGCGCGGCCCTCCGACAATTCCCCATGAGGCTGGAAGCACCTGCGCTCGGGCTCACCTGTGGAACACTTGGCTAGGCCACGCGCCGGAGATGCACCTTGCGGAAGCCCGGCGCACCGTATGATGGCCGAGCCTGCGAAACACATCTTGCCATATGTGCATCCAACCATCGCCGAGACTGACCGCGTCATGTGAGCGATTCCGGAAACCCGGAACCCAAACACGTTGCCACCTCTCGGGGCGCAGCTGCTCACGTCCGCCGCCTTCCGCCAGCATTCCGCAGGCTTCCGTCGGCGCAGGCGGCCCCGCTTTACCTCCGCCTGCCGCCAACTTTCCGCCGCCTTCCGCCGAGGGAGCAGCGGAACTCCTTCGATCCTCGATGGCGAGGCCGGCCCTTCCCAAAGGTCCGACGTCGTGACTTTTTCAACGCGGGGTCCCGGGAAGCCTCGACCCATTCCCCACATGACCGGTTTTTCATCCCGAGTCGTGTTTTTCGGGAGCGGCCAAGAGGGGAGGGTCCAAGAGAGGGGGGTGCAAATCATGACTGGCGGCATGTGCGCGGCCCAGCGGGGGGGCCAGGGACGCAATGAAATAAGAAGAGGCGCCATGAAATCTGGGGAAATATCATGGCCCACGCCATGATCTCCACCCCCCCCCTAGTCATCAACCCCCTCTTTGCCGCCCCCGAGTCTTGACGGCCCCGAGGCCCGGCGAGGGCCCCCGGGAACCGAAATCTGCGACAAACCTCCGTCTTGAGTTCTTCCGTGCGTTGCATCTCCGGGTGCCTGGAGCGCCCCAGGTGCGTCCAGCCTCCTGGCGTGCCCCCAGACGTCCGACGGTGTGCCTCTCTCTGCCGTGCGCGGTCCCGGGAGGGCGCGACCGCCTCCGCGAGGACGTTTTTTTTTGTTTTCTTTCTTTTCTTTTGTTTTTCTCTCTCTTTTTTATATGTTATTCTTTTTTTTTCGCCGCCCCCGGGTCCCGTTTCACTGATGGCCCCGAGGCCCAAGAACGGGCCGCGGAGGCCGAGCTCGGAGCATCGTTTGTCCGACCTCTTTTTCCCCCGCGGCGTGGCCTGGGCCCCCACACTGGCCGATTCCCCCCCCTGGCCGCTCCCTTCGGGCATCGAGGGGTGTATCCCCGACTGGGGTGGGAATTTGTGAAGGGGCCCTGGGACACACAAATAAATACACGCACAAATAAGAAAATTCCCAATATTTTCCCATGTGTTCTGGGTTTTTGTCTTCCCCCCCCCCACTTCCCATATTTCCTATATTTTCGGGGGAATCGAACATTAATTGTGTCTGTGTGTTTTTTCCCCTCCTGAATTTGGTGGGGGCCTCGACACCGCATCTGACCGATGGCCCCGAGGCCCAAGAACGGGCCGCGGAGGCCGAGCTCCCAGACCCCCTCGAGCCAGGAAGCAATCACGACGGCAGGTTCCTCGCGGCTCTCCGCCCCTGGGGGGGCCCCAGCATTGCCGGCCTTCGGGGTCGTGATTACAAAAAAAACAGTCGGCAGGAAGGCCCGGTCCCAGAGAGGAGGTCCAGACCGCCGGGGGGGGTCCACGCCACGGAGAAATCACGACGTCGGGGGCCTGGGATCGAGGAGCTGCCGCGGGGACTGGAACAAAGGTGCGCCCGCGGAGCCTTGGCTCGCGGGCGACACCGCGGGCCCCCGGCGTCTGCTCGGGACGAGTCGGGCAGCCCCGGAGATGCCTCTCGGGGAGGCGCAGCTGCTGGAAGGCGTCCAGAGCCAAGAAGAAAGGCCTCCAGAAACCGCCGAAACACAGAGATCCAACGCATCGAAAAAAATCAAGACAGAGGTTTTTCTCAAATTTCGGCTCTGAGGGGCCCTCGCCGGGCCTCGGGACCGTCAAAAAGTGACTCGGGACAAAAAACCGGTCCCGGGGAATGGGTCGGGACTTCCGGGGGCCCCGCATTGGAAAAATCACGACGTCGGACCTCTGGGAAGAACAGAGAAGGCACACCGTCGGGTCTGGGTCTGTCGGGGTCCTGGGCTTGTGCCGATTTGTCTTCCTCGATCCTCGGGGCGTCTGAGGAGTCCACCTTGGAGGAGGAGGAGGAGGAGGAGGAGGAGGAGGAGGAGGAGCAGGAGGAGGAGGAGGAGGAGTAGGAGGAGGAGGAGGAGGAGGAGAAGGAGGAGGCTCGCCGCCGAGCCTTCTCGTCCAGAGGTCCCAGGCCTCAGGGGTCGCAGGCGGTGAGGAGGTCGCTCGGGTGGAAAACGCCCGGGCCGCTCTGCCGGCACACGCCCGGTTGTGCAGTAGTGGTTGGTTTCTGCTGTCTGCTTGCGCAGTCAGGAACTACCCGAACAGACCTAACCACCATTTCGTAATCCGCCGGCCCCTGTGCGGGGCCACCAGGCTGCGAGGGTGAGGATCGCAGCTCCCTGCTCCAGTTGCAGTTTCCAGTTTCCACACTTGCAGTCCTACTTTCTGCTGCCTTACTGCAATTTTTTGCTGAACGCGCGAGGGGGGGAGTCCCAAGCCAGTTTTTTTTTCGCACAGATCGCGTTGTCTGAAGTCCTGGGGGGGCGTGGGACACGTCAAAATATATGATATTCGCGTCTCCGAGGCCATAATCCTTGCAAATTACGCCATATTCGCGTCCCCGCGTCCATAAACCATGGTAAAGTATACAATAATCGCGTTCATGAAGCCATATTCCCTTGGAAATTACGGGATATTCGCGTCACCGAAGCCATAAGCCACAGTAAATTAGCTAATATTCGCGCCCCCGAGACCATACATCCACGTGAAATGCTGAATACTCGCGCCTCCGAGGCCATAGACCTTTGAACATTATGCAAAATTCGAATCCCCAGGGCAATACACCCTAGTCAATTACACAACATTTGCCCCCCCGAAGCCATACACCTATGTAAATTACAGAATATGTGGGTCCCCGAGGCCACCAACCCTTGTATTTTTGCAATATTCGCGTCCCCGAAGCCATAACAAAGTATGCCATCTTTGCGTCCCCGAGGCCACACACTCTTTTAACTTACGCAATATCCGCGTCCCCGAAACTATCAACCATCGTAAATTACATAATATCTGCGCCACCGAAACCGTACACTTTTGTAAATAAGTATTGGCTCTCGCGTGAAGTCCCGACACTGCTTCACGCCAGCGTCCAGAGATCCCAACACAGCTCTGGCAAGTCCCATTCTAAGAGAGGGGGGCCGGCGGCATGGGGGCGAAGCCCTTGCGGATCTACATGACGGTTGGCCAGTTATGCAGGCGGACAACGCAGGACCACCCACTACGCCAACCCGGGGATACAAAGTGGTGGTTGGGGACTTTGGATCCATAGTCTTTGTGATGCTGATTGTTTCTGGACGCTGGCTCAACCTCCAACGCTGCTGGCAAGGCTCCGGGTTGCGCGCGGACAGCTGCCCCTGACAGTCCTGGATGGCCTCAGCTCGATACCCCCCCCGAATACTCCCAGCTGGCCCCAGTGGGCCCCCCGAGCAGTCCGGGGCGGTCCTGACGCTTCGGCCATGGGGCGCAACGCGACGCAGTGGCGACGCCAGCGGCGGCGCTGGGGCATTGATACCGCCCCGGGCTACTCGCGGGGGGCCCGTCGAGGCCAGCCGAGGCTTTCCCGGACTGGCTGGGGAGGCTGCCTGCGCCCCGAGATCCGACGCTGCCCAGAGACCTGAGCACCGCGAGGCGCAGGCGTAGCGCGGCGGCCGTGGCGCGCGCGGGCGCGGATCGCGTAGGGGAGCAGGGGGAGTCGATCAGGGGTCTTATCAGCTTTCGCTCCTCTCATGCCAAACGTTGCGCCTCCAGACGGCCCGCTCGGGAACATGGCTAGACACGTGGCGCAATTGTTGGTGGGGGGCTGGGCCCGTCAACCCGTGGTCCCTGCGCTTCCTCGCCTCCTTCTGGCGACTCAGAGTGGCATGCCTAACCCGCCTCGAAATGAGTCGCATGCGCGGTGGCCAACCATCGCAGGCAAACGCATCCTCTTGTAGGTTATCTTCGTAGCCTTCAAGGCAGAGGCTGGGGCAGCGTGTGAATCCCTGCTCTGCGTGGCAGCGTAATCCGCACATCTGTTGCCTCTGGCGAGCTCACCGTGGCCCCGCCGATGGGCCCTGGCGTGCTCGACTCTCAGGATGTGCTGGAGGCCTCCGATGCCCTGCATCTTGGCCCAGATGGCCTCCCGCAGGTCCACGTTGGTGCGACGGGGGAAGATGCGCCAATCAGGGCCCGTTCGAAGCCCATCAGCGAGCCCGTTCGAATCGATATGCACTAGGATCGGCAGGATACAAACGAGCAGAGCTTGTAAACAAGGCAACATGCCCGGCCACGGTGGAGGATTGCATGGGGCCAGGCAGGGCCGCGCGCGCCAATGCCACTGCAGCTCTACCCTGGACTTGAGCGAAGCCCCATCCTGCACGAGCGCTCCCAGGCCAAGACCAAATTTTCTTGCGGGCGCCGTCTGTGAAGACCGTTCCGGCGATGAGGTTCGCATTCCCATGCTGCGCGCGCCACTGCGAGGTGCGGTTCCTGGGGGCATGGATGGCAAAAGCGATCGCCCGACGAGGCCTCGATCCCGCATCCGAGCGCCTGGTTCGCGAGGTGGGAATCCGCGGAGGTTCACTCCGTCGAAGACCGCGTGCCTCTCCTCCTCGCTGCGCGCGCATGTCCTCATGGTATGCTGGCCGCCGCGTGCTACAGAAGAGCAGTGAAGGCACTGTGCATCTTCGCAGTATCCGCATCGAAGAAGTCGGTCAGGGGGCGACATGCCTCAGCCAAAAGTGGCGCGGAGGATCCCAGCTTCACGCGCATCTGGAGCCCATGGCCTGTCGGGTGCTGGGGAATCTTGAGGGGATTCGGGAACATCGGCCCCTTCAGAATCACCATCGCGGTCTGGCGGCGCGCGCAAGGGGGCGGGGGGAGGGGGGGATGGGCTTCTCAGAAAGAGGCTGCTTCTTAGAAGGCGCCGGCCTTACATCTATCGATAAGGCCCGCGCCTTCTAGGAAGCAGGGGTGCTTCTAAGAAGCCCCCCCCCTCCCCCCCGCCCCCCTCCGCGCGTGGCTGAGTGGCCCTCGCTCTTGTGCGCCTTATGAAGCAACCGCGGGGCGGGCTCCGTCCACCCAGGGGCTCCTTGGGCCTCGTGCGCTCTCCCGAAAAAAGATGGGGCCGTCTGGCCCGTTGTTCCCGGGGCCTACGCACGGCCGCATCCCGAGCAAGCGTTTGGACCGATGATGGGGCTGCCTTCCCCCGGCCCAATACGTCTCCCAGGTCGGTGCGCCAGAGGAACACCGATGTAGAAGTCCGTTGGAGGTCCCATGGGGGCCAATTGCATTGCCCCCGCAGGCCCAGCGACGCAATTCCAAGGCTCGTCAGTGCGATGCGCCTCTTGAATCTGACGTTTCCAGGCGAGGCCCCAGCAGCCATCGGGCAAACTCCGGTCTCGCAACTACAGTGCCCACTGGCAAAGCGGCGCGACCCAGGCTTCCACCTGGCGTTCGGTGTACATGCTAGCCTGAAGCAGGCCTTGATCCACGAGCTGGCCGAGGCGCCAGCAGGGTGCCATGCTTGCCGAGGAACCGCTCGCATCTAAGATACGAGCCGAAATGGGGCTCGCCAGCTCCGATGCAACGATTTTTTGCTGATGGTAGCGCTTACTTAACAAACTTGCTCGCGATGGGGCCAGCTCGTCGAATCAACCTGGCCCTGGGGGTCCTGCGCGGCGCGCGCCTGACCCGAGCCCGCAGTTCAGCGAATCTGAAAGCCCTGCCAGGGCCTACTTCGATTCGAGGCCTCCAGAGCGCAGCAATAGACGTAGCCCAGGGCCCCCGACTTAGCGCGCACGTCTACCTAATTTTTGGGAGCTGCGGGGAACTTTCATCTTGCGTCGATCTGCTGGTAATCCCATATCATCAATAATGTATACCACAAGCCCAGGCACCTTAATAGCCCACGGAACTGCAATAGCAACAGTGCCCGTGATAGAGAAAGTGATTTCGTCAACATAAAGGTCGCTAGTGCGCCGCAGGTGCGCAGCATGCCTGGCAGAACGCCGAGCGGACCGAGCGTGACACAGCGATGGGCGAACGCGGCAAAGGCGCGCCCTGGGGGCGCGCCGCGCGACGTCCAAACTTCGGCAGTGGAGCTGCTGTCCCAGGAAAGCCGCCGCGCGCCCATGGGCGCGCGAATGGCGGAAGCCATGAGCTGGCCAGGGGGCCCGAACACACGGGCAGCTCGAAGTAACTGAATCCATGGTGCTTTGCCGGAACACTTCTCAATGTCCACTATGGCGTGTACAGAGGCTGGGGAGTCCGGGCCTTCGCGCCCACCCCTCCCTCTGCCTGCGCGAGAACTGTAGCAGGGGCGTCGGTGGGTCGACGCAGGCTCGGAGCCCGCCCGCGAGCTCGAGAGACCCGACTTTCTGCCCGCAGGCGATGCGTGGAGGGAAGTGGGGTAATTTGTCGATCGCCCCCCAACTGGTTTGGCGAGATGGACAGTGCTAGCGTGGGCCAGCCGGGAGGGCCAGCATCCAAAAACTTCACGAACATAGAGGAAGTCGCCGAGCACCGACAAGGCTGCGTTGGATGCACGCGCCCAACGGCGCGGTCTGAAACGATCTGCTCCAGCCGCCGTCGAAGGGTGCATTGCTGAACAGGTTGACGCAGCTCTGAACTTCTGAATGGCGGCAGCCTGGGTCCGCGGGTGCACGGGCGTCGCGTGTCCTCCACAAGGCCGCCCCCCTCGAGCTCTCCATGTACGCTGGGCGCCAAGGTGCCGAGGGCCTCTCCCTGGCCTTGCCGAACGTGCGCCCATGCCCTCGTTTAGTTCGACAGCGTCACCAGCAGTGCTCGATGGGCCCAAGGAGATGTGAAAAACGGTGAAGCATTCCACCCTGTAGACATAGGAGGAAGGAGGAGGAGGAGGAGGAGGAGGAGGAGGAGGAGGAGAAAAAAGAAGAGGAGGGATGAGGAGGAGGCGGAGGAGGAGGAGTGTGAGAAAGAGGAGGTGGAGGAGGGGGAGGAGGGGGATGAGAAGGCGGCGGAGGAGGAGGTGGAGGAGGAAAAGGGGATGGAGGAGGAGGCCCCAATCACCAATTTGGAACACACTGCCTTGCGCCCGACGAAGGAGAGGAGGAGGAGGAGGGCGAGGAGGGGGAGGAGGAGAGAGGAGGATAAAAAGGATGAGGTTGAGGAGGAGGAGGCGGATGAGGAGGACGAGGAGGAGGTGGAGGAGGACGTTGAAGAGGAGGCCCCAGCAACCAGCTCGGAAAGCATTGTCTCGCGCCCGACGAAGGGGAGGAGGAGGGGGAGAAGGAGGGGGGGGAAGGAGGAGGAGGAGGAGGAGGAGGAGGAGGAGGAGGAGGAGGAGGAGGAGGAGGAGGAAGAGGAGGGGAAGGAGAGGAAGAGGAGGTGGAGGAGGCTCCAACCACCATGTCGGAAAGCACAGTCTTGCGCCCGACGAAGGGGACTAGTACGGGGATGAGGAAGGAGAGGAGGAGAAGGAGGAAGTAGAGGAGGAGGGGGAGCAGGGAGAGAAGGTGGAGGAGGAGTCGGATGAGGAGGAGGAGGAGGAGGTGGGCAGGATGAGGAGGCGGAGGAGGAGGCCACAAACACCATTTTAGAAAGCACCGTCTCGCGCCCAACGAAGGGGAAGAGGAGGGGGAGGGCGAAGACGAGGACGAGGAGGAAGAAGAGGAAGAGGAGGAGGAGGAGGAGGAGGAGGAGGAGGAGGAGGACGAGGAGGAAGGAGAGGAGGAGGAGGAGGAGGAGGGGGTGGAATAGGAGGAGGGGTGGAAGAGGAGAGGAGGTGCAGGAGAAGGAGGTTGCAGGAGGAGGAGGAGGAGGAGGGGGAGGAGGAGGAGCAGGAGGATGATGAGGAGGAGGAGGAGGAGGCCCCAACCACCATTTCGGAGATCACCGTCTCGCACTCGACGAAGGTAGGGTGCCGCGGCGACCTCGCGGGGTTGTCTGGGCTCTGGGGCACACGGCACGGCAGCACGGCGGTGAGCTCCTGCTCCCGCTCCGAGGCCTCGGAATGGAGCAGCGCCCTGGCCCTGTGCGCGGGCTCCTGTCGGGCCAAGCCTTCTTCTTCTTCTTCTTCTCCTCCTTTTCCTCCTCATGCTCCTCCTCCTCCTCCTGGTCCTGCTCCTCCTCCTCCTCCGCCTCCTCCTCCTCCTTCTCCCCCTTCTCCTCCTCCTCCTCCTCCTCCTCCTCTTCTCCCTCCTCCTTCTCCTCCTTCTCCTCCTTTTCATTCCTCCTCCTCTTCCTCCTCCTCCTCCTCCTCTTCCTCCTCCTCTCCCTCCCCCTCCTCCAGGGGCGACCATGTTGAAGCCCCTGGGGGGCTTGCCAGACCACGGGGGATGTTCGTCTTCGGGCGGGGCCCCGCGGAGTCCTCGAAGAGCCAAACCCTGCTGTCGTTCTTCGGGGCAATCCATGTGAAGGGTCCCAGAGGCCATGGCTGCATGTCTAACCAAACACACGGGATTTCAGGATCGTCCAAGATACGTGTTGGTGATAACTGTTCACTGTGCATGCTGGTGAGGTACTTGAACACGCGCAATCTACAGTAGACCTTGCCGATGCCTACGACGTCGTCCACAAATCTACGTTGGCGTAATTCTATGGAGCCTGGTTGTGATGAAACAGCGAGGTCAGATGATGTAAACCGCTCGGAGTGTTTTTTTTGGCCTGCATCTCGAACCGCGACATGAGTGTGGGTAGCGCAACTCCTGATAGAACACCACCAATCGGAAAGCTTCGAAGTTCATACACAATGCCACGAAACATTGCAACATCGTGCAAGAACTCGACTGGAACCCTGGACCCCATCTTCCCGCGGCATCTTTCCGGCCAGATCGATCCGAGAGAGTCCCAGGGCCCGAAGCAAAGCAAATGCACCCGTTGCGAACAGCATGCGAGGCCAGGATTTCAAAGTCGGCCCAACCCCTGAGGTTTTCGGGTCATAGCTCGGCTCTGCGGGGGCCGTTCCGGCAACTCTGGAACGCCCTCGGCGAAGCGCACCTGCTGGGAATCATCCCGAGGCTCGACGACTGGCGAGACACAACGACAACGCCAGGATCTCAGGGTGTAGCGACCTATCCGGGTCCTGGGCCCGCCCGATTGGCCCCAGCGGAGACGTCACTCTTTGGCGCAGGCCGTCCTGGCGGCCCATGCACCTCTGGGCGCCGAAGTCTCTGCGCTCGATGCCTGCGCCGCCGCTGTCCCGGGAGGTGCTGCGCTCGAAGCTGGTGCCCACGGGGCCTGGGGCCACGAGATCTGCGCAGATCAGCCGACCTCGGCCCGGCCCTCCCCCTGAGATCCTGGCGTCGCAGAGCTCTCAAGACTGGCGATTTTGCCCTGCTTCGGGCCCTGGGGCCCTCACGGATCGCAGCGGCTCAAGGCAGAGTGCCGCAACAGGACAGGGTGCACGGATCCGGTCGAGACGTTTGCATGAGGTGCTGCTATTTGATCTCGGGGTCCCCTGGGCCCAGGAGCGGTACATTGCGCCCCCGTGGGCTTAAGCCCGGGAGGCGCATGCGCTGATTCTGCGTCCAAGATGGGCCAGGCCACGCCTGGCGGACATGTACTCAGACATCTGACGACGCGTTTTCTGTTTTATGAAAGCGCGGCCCCAGGCGGCCCCGATTGAGAAATCAGATCGTGAGGAGGGCTTGGAGCACGTATACGATCGGGGCCTTTTGCTTGGCGTGTCGCGGCGGCGGCTCCGGCGACACGCCATGTCCGCCAAGCAAGCGGATAGCGTTTCGCTCCGCTCCGCAGGCCAGGAAGCTCGCAAACGATCGTAACGCTGACGCTTAGGGACTAGGGCGTGGTTAGCGTGTCGCGCCCGCAGAGTGGTGGGCCAGAGCCAGCGGAACGACACGCTGAGTACACCCAGACATCTGACGTTGTAATTCGTTCACAGCGTGGCTCCCCAGAGGTCTGAACCCCTTCCCGGGGAGCGGCTTTTCATCCTCAACCGCTCTCTGACGACCCCGAGGCCCGGCGAGGGCCCCCAGAGGCTGCGCATTTGTAAACACCGCCCGCCGTTTCCATTTTTCCCTGGCAGCAAGCAAGACGAAGCCAGGACGAGGACACCATCGTGTGCGGATGTATCGAGAATCTCTGAGATCCGGCGGCTCTGGAAAATGTCTCGGGCGTTGCGGCCTCCTCAGAGCGTTCTGGAACGCTTTGAGAGCGTCGCGGAACGCTCTCGAACGGATTCCCAGACCTCCCACGTCATGATTTTTTCATGACGTGAGCTTCCAGCTGTCTGCACCCATTTCCCGGGACCGGTTTCTCATCCCGAGTCGTTTTGTTGACGGTCCCAAAAGCCAGTAAGGGCCCCCAAAGGCAGAAAATAGTGAAAAACCTCCCATCGTGATCTTTTGATGACCCGAGGGGGTCTGGGTTAATCATTGTCCTAGCCCCGCCCGATCGTTTCCTGACAACAATCGAGTCGGGTATCGTCTACAACATATATTGACCCCAGAGTTGAGGTTCGCGTCGGACCATACGTGGAATGTTCGTAGATCTACGAACATTCAAAAACATCCTCCTCCTCCTCCTCCTCCTCCTCCTCCTCCTCCTCCTCCCCTATCCTCCTCCTTCTCCTCCCTCCCTCCCTCCCTCCCTCC